TGATTGTAGTAATTTAATGTAGTATTGATATTTGTACGCTGTTACTTGTTTGGTAGTCTATGTTATTTGAAAAATATTACTCAACAAATTGTAAAAAAGGACAATTAAACAAGTGATGCGTGCCGCCAAAAAAAAATGAAATTTGATTTCAAAAGTGTAGTGACAGCACGATTCGAGTACCGAGTACAGAATATCGATACTTTTCATGAATACTGAATAGTATTGAGAACTCGATACTTTTTGACAAGTACTGAGTATATATTGGCGATTACCAAAAAGAATCGACGTGTTAAAACTTTTTAAGTAAACATTTTTTCAAAATTACAATAAAATGTTCGTTCTTGCAATTACATTGAAAATTGTTTAAAAATTACCCAACAAACATTATGGCGAATGTACGAAAACTGTCTTCGATATTCAATATGAATTTCATGCAAATGAACACAATACTCATTTACTTCAATGCTGTGATTGACAACTCAGGTAGACTCTCTTTTAAGATACTATTATGCAAAAAAAAAAAATATACACGCGATTCAAAATTCATACAAAATTTTTAGACAACAGGAGAAGAGCTAGAGGTCATTTCAACACTGATTTCGATTAAAAATTCTTAAATAATTGGAAAACGAATCTCTTGCCTTTATAACACTGCAACAAATTTCTAAAAGTTGGAGGTGATAGCAATCAGACTAACAGCTTTTGATTAAGCTGGTCAAATAATAAAAAAGTATCAAAGGATTTGAAAAAGTTGGTTACCATTTCGTTTTATTGGCTTTTTTTTGCAAATATTTAAATTCTATTTTTCAGATTTAGAATCAGGGGGCCCCTTCTACCATCCTAGTATATTTTATTTTTTCAAAGCCTGGATCGGGTTAGAAAAATTTTCCCGAATATTTTGATATTTTTTCAAATGTTGCTATTTTTAGTCATTCATCTTTTATCCGTGCAACCCTGCGTTGTTGAATGCAAAGTTGAACAATGCAAACACTGTTTTAGGGACCAAAACGAAAATTGTTAAAAGTGTTCTCAAAGGTGTTGCCATATTTTTTGTTGTCTAATGTCAAGAAATCTATTACAGTTGGTGTGTGCTCATTTAAATGTCATTTTGACAATTACTGGCAGCAGCCGCAGGCGAATCTACAAGCACTTGTGGTATTTACGTAATTTGTTTATAAAAATTTATAATTTGTGCAAAAAATACTAATTTTATTCACATAACAGCTAAAGGAACATAACAAGGACAATATGGGTAATGCTTATGCTCGTGCCATTAAGCCGGATGTGACGCCCGGTCCCGACTGTGTGCCCTCATTTGACCCAATGCTTGGGTTTGAATCGCGCAAGGAGCGTGTCATGATAGCTACTGTTGAAGAGATGGAATCTGCCAAACTGACTCTCGAAGAACGAGACTACTGCGCACACAAATTGCTAAAATACCGATCCTGCCGTGCGGATTACTTTCCTTTTGTATATAAATGTCATCATGAGAAACACGACTATCTTACATGCGAATATGAGGACTACGTGCTGCGGATGAAGGAGTTTGAACGTGAGCGTAGATTGCTCGAACGCCAGAAGCAGAGTCAGAAACAGCAGAGTGCTTAGATTTCAGGATATTAAATAGTTCTTGAAACTAATTTTCATCTAGCATAAATGCATTGCGATTTTAGTAGTGCTCTGCGGGTATACAATTACGATATAATGTGGAAATATTAACTATATGAATTTCTTATTACAGTTTTATTTTGCAATACAAACGAAAATGCATTGGCCGCTCAAATATCTTACGTAGCTTCAAATGAAATTATCGCAAATAGTTAATGAAAGTATATTCAATAAATAAACCGGAATTAAATATGCGACCACCGGATAAGGTATATTAACATTTTATTTTTAAGCTACAGTTTACAAAATTTTGTAGTAAATTTATTTACTACGGCATTAATCGAAATCGAACTAAATTAGGGCTTTCATAGATGCTTTCATCTTCTTACTCATTTTTATTTTTTTCTTTTTCGGCTGCTCCTTCGGTGCGCTAATATCTAGGGAGTCCTCCAGCCGCTTTATTCCACTATAAAAATCATATGAATTTATTGTATTTAATATTAGAGAAATAAGCTATACCTTTTAACGGATATAAGTTTGGCTTTACCGTCAGTATTTGTCAAAGCCTTTGTCCAGTCTTCATCGGTACCCTTAATGGCAAATTCTTTTAAATTTTCCATTTTTAATTTTTTAAGGTCTTCCTTCTGCTTCTTAGACAACTGCTTTGCAGTTTCTTCTAACTCGTCGTTGAGTGAGAGAGAGACTGGCACAAAATCTTCGCCGCGATTCAATTGGGTTTCACTCTTCATATGGCTTTCAATGTGACCTTCGATGACAGCAAGCAAATACTTGGTGGTTTTCTTAAGCAAATCATAAAATTTTGCCAAAATCTGGTTTCCAGGCATGTTTAATTCAGCTGCGATTGTATCAACAGTCTTGCCTTGTATGCCAATAGCGAGCAGAATGGCCTGAAATCATTGTTATTTCAAGAAAAAATTACTACGACATGATTAACGAAAATTGTTTTAGCATACACACCTTTTGTAAAGTATCTATTTGAAGTTCTTGCATTTTTCCTTGAAAATACAAGTAACTAATATCGCCTACTAAATCTAACACCAAGCGATATTCGATTTGATTGCGCGAATACGCTTCTAAACGCTCAATGTCATGTGGCAGGAAGTAAACGTCGAGTATGTGCTTGTCGAGGCCTGAAATTTAATTAAAGCATGAATATAAAAAAACATCAAAATATGATTTATCATCATTACCCTTTTGCTCAATTTTTGCCCTTTTGTTATCGATTATAGATAATCCTAAACTGATCGGAAATTCCCTAAACGTTTTACTCAAAAGTTTAATGATACGCCGTCTAAAATCGTTGAAATATAAACTCAACCATTCTGCACATTTCTTCTCTTGAGACTCTGCTCCTGACTTATCTAGCGTGTGCAACATAATGCAGGTATGCTCGCCAGTGAGGTCATTGGCCTTCTGGCTAACATACACTGGCACGAAGCCCAAATTTTTCCAAAATTTAAGAAGCTCTTGTGTCAACCCGTACGATGTTCCCANGGGTGCGCTCATTCAGACGTTTCAATAGTGTGGGTATTTTGCGACGAGGGCGTATTTGCTCTTTTAGCAAACCGATCTGTTCTTCCTCAACTTCTTCGATGCCTGCAAAATGTAAAAAAGTAATTTGGATATCACTCTGTTAATCATATAGTTTGTTACTCACCATTTGCATTATCGCCACTTTGCGGATTTTCACTAATATCCGTAAATTTTCCCTGATAATAATCTCGGAGAAGCTTAATTGCACGCTTACCATAACCCATCTAAAATTTTAGTTTTAAAGATAAGAAAATGTGTGTGTATGCTTCAAGTTTTTAACGACATACCCTTTGATAATTGGGATGCGTTGCAATTCTGACCACTCGAACACCTGACAGCTTGGGGAATTCGCGATCACCGAATTGCTCAGATATATTCCACGGTATCAGATCACCACTCGCTTTTTTGCCACGACCCAAAGAATCACTAATCGTTTGCGAGGAAATTTCCCCCTCTAGCGCTACTTGCACGACAACAAGAATTTCAGGCAACTGATCTTTGCGATGAATAGGTCCCAGTAGACAAAAAATGTGATGCGCTGGCGCATCGCTCATCATTTGTAAGTCATTGGGACTGTTCTTGTAATGCGAAGCTACATAAATGGAGACCAAACGATGGAGGAAGGATTCGGCGGCCTTATGATACGAGAATAATGCATCACGATCTATGTAGTAGAGATCGCAAACATCTGGTGTTGGACAACCCGAGCTGATATTGGGAACAGTGGTGGCATCCAGACATAGCAAATTTATCAACCATGCTTCAATATCATCGCCTTCGCTATAGCGAATGGACTCGTCGAGTTTTATCTGATGACACAATATATACGATTAGTATCTCATCAACTTACAACATTTAAGAACTTACCGGTGGTGGTGCATTGTTGTCTTTTTGCAATTGTGACATTAATTTTAAGCTTAGTGACCGTCCAGTTCCTTCATAGCCGTTAATAGTAGAAGCCATGAATATCAAGTACGGGCCCATCATTTTTTTAACTAAAGGAAGAGGTATGGCTGCAGCCTCATCAATTACCAACAAATCTGCCGCGTTTAACAGATGTGTATCGGTAGGTGCAATGTATTGTATGGTTTGCCGATTTGAACGAGTTATATTGATGCGGATGATGGCCTTTTTGTAATCTGGATTAGTGGATCGTATGATGGTGTAATCAGCATGCTCCTGATATTCCAGCGCATCGAAGCCCTTGAGCACGAACTCAAAAAGTGTAATTAAATTCTCCGGGTGTGGGGAAGTAACATAGACATTAACATAACCAAACGCTATAGCTGCGGCGATGGACAAACCCATCGCGGCGGATTTACCACGACCACGTGCTGCGGTCAAAGTCGTGGGTGGCCTGAAAAATTTATCATTTAGTTCAAAGTTTTCATAACACAAGTTTTTCGTTTAGGTACATACTTCAGTTGCTTCTCCGCCAAAGCTTCGATGAATTGAGCGACAGCACGTGCTTGATCGTAAGTCCGGCATTGAGATACAAGCTGTCCTGCAGGCGGCGTATCGCGCAAGCTTTCTTTTAAATCTTGCAACATTTCATTGTTTTCAGATTTTCCAATATCTGCGGGCTGTAATCGTAAATTTTAGTAAGCAGATAGAATATTAGAAAGTCCAAATTCCAGACTTACATTTACTGGATCAACATTTACAGTTTTTGAACTCAACGGCAGCACAGTCAAGTCATCATTGACGACTAGACAACGTTTGCAATCAGCCAACGAAAGTATCAAACGCTCATTGAAACGGCAAGTTACAGTTTGGTGTGCTTCGGCGCGGAATCGCTTATGCACATCCATACTCATTGTATACAGCTGTTTCAGTGACTGTAGAGTTTTTAGCAATAATATTATTAGCCCGCCCCCTTCCACCGTTTCCACTGTACGCGCCAGTAGATTGGGAGTGAGCGCCTCAAAATCCTGCAATACGCACACACCATAGGTGCGACCAAGAACAGCATGTGTCTCAGAATAATATCGTCCATGTATGGTTGTCGATACGCGAAATGTGTCGAACATATCAGCATCGTTGACATCAATTTTGCCAGCCGCAATCTTTTTGGCCCGCTTACGGCCGTGGCTGCAGGTAAACATTATTTATGAATGAAGTGAAATTAAACTGTGTGCTACACGACACTTACTTTGAAATAGCATCATCCTTGTTTTTGTAGCACCACAGTACTGTGGGCCGGGCTTTTACTGTGGATTTCGTCAAAATGTCGTAAAGTATCGGCACTTGATCGCGCGCTTTGTCTCCAATTATTATGAACATTGTACGATGTCCCAACTTAACGCCATTCTCAATCATTACGCGGATGCGGTTGTCTATCTTCTTTTTGACCATTTTTAAAAGCTTATTTTGTCTGATTTATTTAAAATTTATCAGGATATGCAACACAAAAAGTAAAATAAACCGAAAGGAAAGCACACGTGCATTGTTTTGCCTTTTGACAGTCCTCGGTTTTGTTTTGATAGGAAAGTTTATCATTTCCATTTTGGTTTGTTAAAAGTTAAAACAGAGAACGTTAAAATTACCGGATGGATGATTATACTAACAACATAAAACAAAACTACATTTTCCAGCAAAGGTACAAATATTTTCTTTAATTGGAAAAAAATGTAAATGTGTGAAGAGTTGAAAGCTTATTCCGGGACTCGTGCCGTAACCTTCCCAAAATTTCCAACTCTTCACCCTCTTTTTTTTTCGTTAATAAATCGTCTGGTAGCTCTATTCAACAGCTGATTTCACCCGTCCTCGCATGTTTACAAATAAAACTCGTTTGGTTTATGCAAAATGATTTATGCAATTACATTTTATTAAATTATTTCTTGCGCTCATATTTAAAGCGGTATACTGGCGGCGCATCCTTGGTGCCTTTCCTTACTTTTTTAGGCTTCAACAGGCGCTTCTGCTTCAGCACTCTTTTTATTTGTAACTTTTGCTGAGCAACTGCCAATTCTTTCTCGCGCTCAATACGCTTGGTTAGCTCTTGGTATGATTGCTTTTTCAGTGCATTAGCTTTTCTAATTTCCTGCAAGAGAATAAAATAAAAAACCATGATCAAAAACTGTGCAAAGAGATAATATAATTTATTTACTAACATCCGGAGTCAGTTCAGGCAACTTCATTTTCTCTAAATCCTGTATACGTGGCCGATTTGTTTTGCGCTGTAACAAGTTTGGGTGTGTCTCGAGGCGTTTTGCCAATTCAACTTCATCCAACTCCTTTCCAACTATCTCTCCGTCGAGACCATCGTCGAAGAAAATATGTTTGTTTTCGACTGTATTTGCAAAGTCGATCATATGCAGTTGTGCTTGCAGGCGTTGTATCTTTTTTGCTTCCATCGTGCGTTTCATGGTCACATATTGCATGTCTTGTGTTTCCATTANCAACTTCATTTTCTCTAAATCCTGTATACGTGGCCGATTTGTTTTGCGCTGTAACAAGTTTGGGTGTGTCTCGAGGCGTTTTGCCAATTCAACTTCATCCAACTCCTTTCCAACTATCTCTCCGTCGAGACCATCGTCGAAGAAAATATGTTTGTTTTCGACTGTATTTGCAAAGTCGATCATATGCAGTTGTGCTTGCAGGCGTTGTATCTTTTTTGCTTCCATCGTGCGTTTCATGGTCACATATTGCATGTCTTGTGTTTCCATTAGCGCTTTTTGTACTTTGCTGTGCTCATCTGGTTCCTTCTCTTTTTCATGATGCTCGTCCTTTTCCAGCTTTGAGTTGATCATGTGGTGATAAAATTCATCGGGATTCTTATTTAGTGCTCTTTTACGCAGCGCCTTCAAAATACGCTCCTTGTGTTGTTCATTGTTGGCACGTTTTTTATAATCCTTTTTCTTTTCGAGTAAACCGAGATGTTTGCGAGCATCTGGCTGGTGTCGTTCACGATGCACTTTTTGGTTGCTCTTGGACGCCTTTTTCCACGAGGACATTGCTGATTTATTAATTTTATTCTGCAGGCTTCATTGAAACACACAGAAAATACGGCAAAAAAGTTCTTGTCTGACAGTAGTAAAGATGAAAACACAACCAAAAGAGAAACGTCATGGNCCCATAAAGGACTTCACCACAGTTTTTTTACTGGATATACTGAGCTTCAGTGAAAACACAGAAAATACGGCAAAAAAGTTCTTGTCTGACAGTAGTAAAGATGAAAACACAACCAAAAGAGAACCGTCATGAAAGTGTCAAATCAATGAAATGTAATAGATCAGCGTATTTGCGCGGCATTTTTACCGTTTGAAAAATAGTTTTTATTTGCTAGTGAAAGGAAGTGAATTGTCCGCGTTTAAAATCGTCTCGTTTAAGTGGAAAAAATTGTGCGGGAGTGCTATAAAATGTGATTAATTAGTAATTAAAGTGAATGCGGCGCGAGTGATTTAAAAAAATTGTTCGAAAGTGCGTTTTCTAACAAGTATTTTTCAATTAAAACTGACGATCAATTTGATGCTGGCGCACATGGTTGGATACATGCACGCCGGAAACAAATTCGCGGTAATTCGTTGAGACTTCTTGGATGTATCTAATATTTGTTACACATACATATGCCTGCATGTGCAATCGCGATAAATGGCTAGATATGCACTGGATTCGATTGTGTTCAGGCAGATTTACTTCGGCGGATTACCCCAGTTGGTATGTACATTTGTATTTATGGTATTATGTACGGTATTTTACAGAAAAAGTTAAGGCAATTTCATTTGTGGAATATGTTTGTACACGCTAAAGTAGTCTAATAGCTCAGCGTTGCATGAGAGTTGTCACATAAGGAATCTGATGAATGGGCTTTGCGTGTTAGCGGTTAGCCAACGCATAGCACTTCACATGTAGAATTCTGTTGGGTTTTGATTTTTACTTAAAAATCGTATAGCAGTGCAAGTATGCATAACTGGGCTATAATAAGGGCAGGTTGTTCGATGTCTGGTTAACACAAATCGGAGGTAGAAGCTCCGGCTTATTTTGCAACGACTGCTTAATCGATCCCATGTTATATGCATGATGTCTAAATCGGCGATAATGATGTTTACCCAGCAAACATTGAGGTTATGTACAGTATCGGTCATATCTATAGCACGCCATTTCCAAGTGATATTGTGTGCCCCTTATGTTCATTTACTTATTTTTAAGAATTTTCAATTAAAATTTAGTTCATTCTCAGACAAACCCCATATATACCCAAGTTCAACAATTTGTAGAAAACTACAAAAAAGTGTAACAAATTTTCACCTAAAATTGAAACTTTTTTCCCGGAAGTGTTAGAATTTTTTTGAGTACACAGTTTTTTAGAACCTGCATTTTTAGTCTGATAATGTGCAAATTTCAAGTGGCTACGAATTACCGTTAATTTTTTAGAATTTCTTTTGTCGCATTGGCTTCCATATAATGAATAAACTCAATTTATTTGTATATGGAAGAAAACCGCAACACCTTTGGCAAAAAAAAAAAAATCCAAAAAATCAACGGTAACTTATAGCCACTTGAAACTTGCACATTATCAGACTAAGGCCCAATTTCAGATGGCCTATTTAAGTAGAGATTGTTGATTAACTTCCATTATTCATTTTCAGATCATACATTTAATCTGCACTTAAATGGCCAATATTGGCTATTTAAATATGAGATATGCAACCCTGTGTTTGTACCAAACAACCAAGATTGATTGGTAGGTTGTTTAATCAATCCCACCAAAAAACAATCAGCTTTTCAGCACAAAATGTAAACAAACAAGCAAATGCAACAACAATTTCAAGGAACAAGCAGCAGCGCTGCCAATTGTTTGGCATATTTAAACAAAGCTGATCTGAAACCCAACGAAAGTTAAATGGCATTTAAACAACATTCGACAATTAAACTTAAGTGCCATTTAAATATTCATTTGAAATCGGCCCTAAAATTGATTGGGCTATAAAACTGTGTATTCAGAAAAATTCAAACACTGCCGAGAAAAAAGTTTGAAATTTAGGTGAAAATTTGTTGCACTTTTTTGTAGTTTTCTACAAATTTTTAACTTGGGTTTGTATGGGTTTTGTTACAGAAAGAACTGTATTTTAATTGAAAATTCTTAAAAATAAATAAATAAACATAAGTGGCACACAATATCAAATTGAAATCGCGTGCTATAGATATGACCCATGGTGAAATAAACTATCGTTCTGGGATATGACCGACACTGTAGTTATCGATTAGAGAATGATTGGAGAACTAAGCCACATTCTCCAATCTCAAACGTTAGGGAACGACTCGGAGAAACTGTCGAGAATCATAGCGATCTCATAAAAAATGGGCCATAGTTCTCGTCTTGAGAAAATAATAATTATCTAATCGAATTCTAATGTTGATCTCTAATGGGATTCGAATGTGAATTTTAAACTGCTGTTTTGTTTTATTAAATAAAACGCNTCTTGAGAAAATAATAATTATCTAATCGAATTCTAATGTTGATCTCTAATTAGATTCGAATGTGAATTTTAAACTGCTGTTTTGTTTTATTAAATAAAACGTTTTGTTTGTAAAATTTGTATTACCTGTATTTGCAATAAAATAATAATGAATTATTTGAACTCAAACATAATTTATGATTCATTCCTTTGGAATATTGCTTAGTAACATTTATTTGAATTTGCGTTGTTTCTCTAATCGTTCTCGAATCGAATTCTAATGTAGTTCTCTAACTTCGTCATCGACTCGAGAAAGATTAGGGAATTACGCTAATATAGTAGACAGTAGAAATCCAAATGAGCAGCTCTATAACAAATAATAGGGAGTCGATAACGATATTTAACCTGTAGTTGGGCCGGTTGTTCAGGTTAAACATCGTTATCGACGTCTACATGCATATATATGTATATACATACATTATGACGTAAACGTCGATTACGATTTTAACATGGGGGCAGTGATAACCAGATATTGAACAACCGGCCCTAAGGGCCATTTAGGGCCGGTTGTTCAATGTCTGGTTATCACTACTTGCCGGTTAAACATTATTATCGACGATTTCGACATCATGCATTTAACATGTGATCGATAAAGCAGTCGTTGTATCTAACCGGAGCTTCTATCTCCGATTTGTGCTAATCAGACATTGAACAACCGGCCCTTAATCAAAGCCTGGTTGACACTAACCTACGGCCTCAAGGGCACTAACTACATGTTAAACATCGTTGTCGACGTGATCAGCTCCATAGCAAATAACAGGTAGCAGGGAGTCGATAAGTTAAACATCTTTATCGACGTTATCGACACCTATCATATAACATGTGATTGATAAAGCAGTTGATGTGCTTAACTGAAGGATGTACCTCCTGTTAGCGTTAACTAGACATGGTGCAAACGGCCCTTAGGGCTGGTTGCCATGAACGAAAGACACAAGATCACGTAAGAACAAGAGAGTGAAAAAAGTCGATTTTTTTAGCGGGTTCTACGCCATCTTGTTTCACTGGAAAACGAGCGAAAAGTAAACAAAGCAAAAAAAGCAACGAAAACCAAAATTAGCCAACATTATTGTCAGCCACTTTAAACGCACAATTTAGGTAAAATGATGCAACAAAATGCTTTAAAATGTGTTGTCATGTTGAATTAATTCTTCTTTACTTGAATAAAAGTGTAAAATAGTGGTGCTTGTGATGTAAACAAACGCTCAGCTGACGAACCCGCTTTCGCAAACTTTTTTCTCAAAACCAGTTACAAATACAACGTCGCGTTCTTACGTGATCTTGTATTTTTGGTTCATGGCTGGTTGCTCAATGTCTGATTAGCACTAATGAGGTAGAAGCTCCGGTTAAATACAACGATTGCTTTATCGATCACATGTTATATACATTATGACGTAAACGTCGATAACGATTTTAACATGGAGGCAGTGATGACCATATATTGAACAACAGGCCCTAATGGCTATATAATCAAAGCCTGGTTGACACTAATCTCTGGTTAAACATCGTTATCGACGTCTTCGATTCCATGTCCATAGCAAATAACAGTGAGCAGGGAGTCGATAATATCGATAACAATGTTTAATCAGACATTTAGGACGGGTTGTTCAATGTCTGATTAGCAGTAATCGGGGGTAGAAGCTCCAGTTAAATACAAAGACTTCTTTATCGATCACATGTTATATGCATGATGTCGAAAACGTCGATAATGATGTTTAACCGGCAAGTGGTGATAACCAGACATTGAACAACCGGCCCACAGTGGTTCGGATCGCAAATCTAGCTGGATGAAACTATTTAAACAAATACTCGTGGATGGATATTTACACCACTTCTTACCTAGGGAATTTTTGGGTCGCTGATTACGAATCTGAAGTCACTTATCAAAAATTCAAAATGGCGGATCCAATATGGCGGACGAAAATTTAAAAAAATCGGTAGATTTCTATGTAACTGGGTATCTGGGGATTTTCTGGGTTGCTGATTACGAATCTAAAGTCATTTACTTAATTTACTTTATTTACTTCGGAACGAGCATTTTCATCAGATATTTCTTTCAATTTACTAATCACATAATCACGGACACCTTGTTGTCTTTTAGAAGTTTCAGCAACACCAAATGTCAAACAACTCACTTCTTAAGATTTTATTTACCATGACTAAAATTTAAGATCACAGCAAGAAACACAAATAAATTTCAGAAAAAAATTTATAACAGCGCTTAAAGATTTGCATGCCTGTTGTATAATTTTTTAATTTCAGAAAGCGGAAAATTCGCGAGTTACTATTTTTTTTCTTACATAACCAAAGTTTTTATAACTCCAAGTATTTCTCTGTTTTAACACACAACCCCTTCCCCCCTCCCTCCCTCTTCCCCTCCCTCCCTCTTCCCCGTGAATCCGCCACTGATCTTATATTTATATTCAGATACATTCCTGTTAATAATTACTTTTGAATTTTGAGATTTGACATACTGTCACTACAATGTAAATATCTAAGCCAATTGGTTAGACTTGGTTATCGAACTTACCCTCTGCATTTGCGAAGGTGTAAAGAATAATATGCA